CATTGGGATCTCCACGCCAATAATAGGGCCTATGATGCTCTACAATACTTCCGCGAGTGTAAGTACCTGGCATGTACCTATGTATATCCACAGCCGCCGGATACTAAAACATTCTTCAGCACTCGTAGAGTTCATGGAAATTGAGATAACTAGAAAAATGGCGGGCAATTATAAAGACGGGTAGAGTGGGGTTTGATCATCTCCAAAAAGTCAGCAACACCGCGAAGGGCGAAGTAGTGGAAAAGAGGAAGGTAGAAGTCTCCACGCGAATTTTCAGGTTTCAGTCGACGAGAGAGCCTGGCCTCCTGGAGTCTCCAGTCATCCTCCAATCTGTCAAGGCACTGAGACCACGCCTTCAGAACCGGCGACCACTGTTGCACGATAGGACTGTGCGACGTTTCTTCTGGATCTACGAGTTTGCAGATGGCCACAGAAGCATCACCCCTAGCCCAACGCCCCTCTGCGATCTTCCTTCTCCACCTCACCTCATAGTCAGACCTCCTAGAAGTAGGGATGTTGTTAAGGATTGCCCACAACGCCACCCAATACACAGAGAAGAGATCATCAACAGGGGACTGGAGATACCTGGTACCGTCCTCTATGGACTCGAGGAGCCTGGGAGACATGAACTCTGATGTACCCTGCGCACAAGTCTGTCACTGGAAAAACACTACATGGAACACAAGTAGCTTACCGATCTCTCATCGCTTCCACGGTTATGGCCTTGGAAATAGGATGCCCAGCAAATAGCCTTGTCGCCATCGGTCACAAAAGCGATGCACTTTGTCGATACCCCCAATTCTTCGACAAGTCGCTCCACCCGCGTCATCTGCTCCTCCAGGTCACTCAACTTAGGAGGCATAGAGTCGATCGAAAGACCTTCAAAGAGCGACGTCAAATCTTGGGCTGGCTTTGTGGCAGTCTGGCGGAAATCTGCTGCTATTTTAAAAGCACTTTTCTCAACAGAGTTGGGACAGAGGAGTAAGTTCCCAATGCTGATGTCCCGGTGCAGGTATCCAGCTTGATAGGTTGACAACCATCCTGCAAAACGTATCAGCAGATTGTGAGGCAAAGAGCAAGATCACGCTACCTAACACGCCGTGGATGAGTGCTTCACAAAGCTCGCGTGAGCTTTCGGCCTCAACAAGCGAGCGGCCTTCGAGTGAAAAGAAGGAGTAACACATAGTGCGGGTCTCCGCCGCAATCGGCGGGGTATCTCGGAAAAGTTTCCAAAACGCCGATTCAATCTCATCCTTTCTGGGAAGGAAAATGTGGTTCGAGATAGGCCGGCCGCCTTCGTATGTCCCTTCGTACGAGCAGAGATGGGAAACAGTACCAAACCTCCCATTGGATGCCTTGTACATCCCCGGCTCAACCTCTTTGAGTTCGTCCTGCTGCCAGGAGATCTTGACGATCAGTGGTTTCTGAAATTCTTTTCGTAGGTCTTGCGTCTCGTGTGACGGGGTAAATCCTCTAGGCTCGAAGTATCCAATGTCGTTTTCTCGTTTGTAAGGCGTGATGGGGCATGACTCTGCTTCGATGCAGTTAGGAGGCGAAGGAGCAACCAGCAACAGATAAACGTACCACTCTGTGTCGTCTTTTCATTCTTCGTCGTGCCTTCGCTTGGTGTTCCTTCTGCGGTGGTAGGCTTTGCTTGAGCGGTTGTCTTGGAAGGCGGTTTCTTGGTCTGCTTTGAAGAGGGTTTCTTGATTTGGCTCGAAGACGAAGACTCTGCATTCGGTTGGTGTGCGGCAGGAGTACGAAGCCTTGGCGATCGTCTGAGAGGAGCGGTGGTAAAGGCTTTCAACGAAGGAGCACCTTGCGACGTCGTCTCAGGCGCGACGTTAGGGGGCTGTGTCGGAATATCCTTGACAACTACACGCGAGACCTTGGTGGAGGAGCCCCGAACACATATCGCCTCGTATAAATTGTCCAGGATTGTAGCTCGCACCCCCTCTGTGCCCGTGGAATTTAACGGGATCATGTACTCGAGGTCGTTGCACGACGGGTTGAATCCAGCGTCGGTGGCAGACGTCCAACAAGTGATGGAGAGGAATAGTTCCAACGCTCCTTCCCTGCCTCCTTGTGTGTCAAGGTAAAGAGGTAGGGAAGCCGTCAGGCCCCCACGATGGAAGATGACAAAACGTAGGCTTTTATTCTTCTGATTGAAGCACAATACGAGGGAGAATAAACGTGACGGGCTGGCGCTGAACAGGCAACGAGCATACGACGCCGCTTGCGCAACCATGTCTTTCTCGTCCAATTTGACCTCCACAGGTATGTCGATCTGGTGATGGCTCTTGTCGATGCGACTCCAGTAGAGTGTGGCTGAGGGGTCCTGCTGGAATATCACAACCAATTTTCGTCCTCCTGCGAGATCCGGCTTCAGCGGATGAGCTGCACGAATCCCATCTCCTGTTGTTCTGTCGTACTTGATAAAGTCGAGGTCGTGATACCACCGTACATCCCTGGCGGGAGCTGACGGATCAGAGTCCAGGGCGGCGTGACAAGCTTTCAAGCAGGTGTTCATGAACTGGGCCAGGGGCTGATAGTACTGCCGCTCCCCCGCATTGTCGGGCGGCCAATTGAGACTTTGTTCCAAGAGGGTCTTTTCTAGGTCCGATTTGGCTCGTGTGAGGGCCGCCTTGAAGAAGCGTTTGTCGACGTCGCAGTCGTGATTGTCCAAAAAGTGATAGTCCCCGCCCGGCTTGAGACATTTGGGAGAAAGCATACGGGAGACCCTTTCGGCGTCGAACTGCCACGTTTGATCACCAATTTCGTCTTGGAGGAGATTCTTGAGCACTTCTTGTTTACGAAGCGCATCAGAGGAGGGCTGATTGTTCCCAGTGCGACTGCTAGGTTTGACAGGAGTAGAGTGTGCCATTGTGGTGGCTGTCACAAGTCAAGCGCGTCGTTCAAATTGAAATTGGGCGTAAACCTGCGTAAACGTAAACCTTGGATCACGTGCCATACATGCAACCATGTGATGACCGAAATGACCGAATGGATGTCACGTCATGGAAAGAGCCAAATTGAGAACAGTTCCGGGGTCAAGAACCATGGATGCCGAAGTGTGAAATGGAAATGATGATAAAATGAGACACGTCCCAAAGACTTTGAGGGAGGTTTCAGATGAAAACCCTGGCCAAAAATGTGCACAGATTTGCTTCCGGAACCACCCTTGAAATGACCAATTTTTTGCCAGAGGCAGCTTCACCATTCCAAGAGGTTTCCTTTTGTGGACAAGGACCGAACGGTGACTGAAAATGACTGAAGAGGCATCACGTGATGGAAAGAGCTGAATTGAGAACAGTTCTGGGGCCAAGAACCATCCTGCCAAAGTGTGAAACAGAAATAATGACAAAATGAGACACCTGCCACAGAGTTTGAGCAAGGTTTCAGACAAAAACCCTGGCCAGAAAAGTGCACAGCATTGCTTCCTATGGTTGAGCATGCTGGACAAAAATACATGGAATTGATTTTCCTTCCCGATCATGACTGATTGGTTCCAATAGTCAGCAATCAGTGCCAATCATTAACTTTCAGCCACTAGTTCTCACAAATCCCTCTGATTCTTTGACATTTTGTCCAAATAGTTACAATTTACCCCGATTCTGGTTTGCCACTACTAGTCACCATTCATTGCCATCTACAGGTACTGATAACTGTCCATCAGTGTCAACAAGTCAAGAAGCAACCCATGAAATTATTATAGCAGTCATTATGATTAGTCGCAAATTCTTATGTCAGAAATTTGAGTTTTCATTTGGTATGGAGGGAAATCGCAAGAAAATATGGCTCACTGTCACAATTTGGTACAAATTGGGCAGCCATTCAAGTAGCTTCATGAGTTCAATGTGAGAGTACCTCACTATTCATCATAATTTGTGGCTTGGTTTGAATGTTCTATTTTCACCAAATCATTTCGGTGCTGAGGATCAATGCCGCTGTGCCTTCATGACTGATAAGCGCTGATTCCACTGTGTCAGGTGGTTGGGAATTGATGTGCCTACAGCAGGATGTGGATAGAGCAAATGGAATATATATGCACATACACCACAGTTTGTGACTCTGAAGTATGAGGAAGAGTTCAATTGTTCTGTGGCTCTAACCAGGGCCACACACGACTCCAAGTCAAAGACGGGTGACAAAGGTGGGTGCTAAGCATGAGAATGTGTTGGCATGCTGACAGGGTCGATAGACAATGCAGCAGTGCCAGTCAAAAACAAAGACCTTCCCCTCCCTACTGAAATTATAATAGTGGCCCCATATTTAGTTTCAAGAGCAAAGTAGAAGGCTTCAAATTCGTGGTGTATTCAACAAGCTGTCATGAATCACAGTTGCAATTTTGACATCATGCATAGGCGGAAATATGCAAGTCATTGAGTACCTAAAGATAGCATGGTGAGTAGGAGATATAAAAATAGATCTTGATGGTTGTTTGACAGGTTGATAGATGGCAGAGATTGTGGGGTTCTTTGAGGAGACATAGGGCTCAATTCGGGCTCATGTTGGCTTGTTCTTGGTGCTCATGTGGTGTGAATCACAAAGAGCCTAGAGGGGTTGGTATTTTTATGAATGAAAACTAACATGTATATGTGACAAGAAGGGTAAGGTACCAAGCACATGCATGCTCTTGGGTTGCTTGGGCTGAGTAAAAGGGAATGGTCCTATCTACAGCCTTCTATGTGGGTGGCTATGCAAAGGAAAATAAGAAAACTGAGAAAAAGGGAGTGTTCCATGATAGAAGAATAAATGAGAAATGATGGTTCCAAACCTGAACGATCTGAGGAGATCCTTCCTAGGCACAATGGGAGGAGACTCCTGAGTTGTATAAGACTGGAGTCACATGCCTGCCCACAAGGGAGTGCTCATCACAGTCTTTCCACAGATGACCAGGCTGTGGGGCAGCTCTTAGTCATGCTCAAGAAGGGAAAGCCTCTGAAACGACCAAGATCCGATTACCAGAAACTAGGAAGAAAAATAATAAGTGGCTAGACAACAAATTTCAAATCAAAACAGAACCAAAAGATGAAATGAGCAAAAGAGAATGATTCAGAAAAATTGACAACCCATACTGTAGTTCCTTTGTTTTGGGGCTATAGACTCATTGTCCTTGTTGAATGTGGTTGGTGAGATTTGTTGGAGGTGTATAATGGCCCACCATGGACAAAAATAGGGCTTACCACATAAGTACCACCCCTGCAATGAATATGTCATCCAAAAGTCCCAGATCATTGATGTTCATTGACAATCATCAACTTTTGTCAATGTTTGTCAATGATCTCCAACTTTTGTTGATGTTCTTTGACTTTTGTCAAAGATTTCCACTGAAATACTGTGATCTTCAATGTTTGGCACAGATCAATATAGTAGGTTTCTTCAACTTTCTGTTACCATTTTCACTGTGAGCCTCTCATTCTTTCTTTGACATCTGGCCAGAATCTTCAAGAATCTTTATATTTTTCTTCAGGAATGTGTTGGACCCCAGGACTTTGCAAGGGGCTTGGCACACTCAACTCATGTGCTGGGCCTATGCCAGCTGCTCTGCTTGCATGCTGACTAAGATTGGCAGGGTCCCATGGCACACTGACTAAGTTGTTGCTCCCCATCACTGTTGTGGACAGCAAGCTTGCTGTTCACACCATTTCCAGTCCATTTTTTTTGCTAGTATCAATGTATGTAGTTATTAATGAAGTTATGTAACATATATACTGTTGTAAACCCCCATAAGCTGTATAAAATGCGAAAAAAATAATATGAATAACAGTCCCTCATCCATACCCAGCTCTAGGCATATTCTTTAGCCCAGCAAGTATCTGGAGTATTTAATATAGACACATGTATGAATGGGAAGGCCACCATCCAGGTTATGGGAGTGGCAGGATATACAGTATCATGGTGATTAATGTACCTCTCCTCCTACCCCTCTTCCACACACCAATAATGCAACTATTACTATGGTTAGTAGCTCAATTTAATGGTACTACAATAGCGCATTTTTAGGGCCCTCTATTTGAGCCATTTGTGGTTTGAAGGGAGAGGGTATGACCCATGACCCTCAACAGTAGATATTTTATTAAAGAACCATACATGCATTTATGGCCAATTTGACTTGGTAGATACTTAATAGTATTATGCTTTAGTATATATATGTATTTAAATATGGAGTGCCACACATGTGGGCAAAGATATGAGGAGGGGGAGGAGGAGCACATACCTCATCAGTTACCATGTCCTCCTGTCACGAATAGTGCATATTGCATGCTCTAGGTAGACTCTATGGGTGTGCAATATGTATACCTTGATATTTTAGTAGTCACAGTTAGAGAATAGATGCTTGGGTGAGATGGTATTAAAGCAAGGAGGATATCTGCACAGCCATGTACACTAGAAATCTATATCAAACACTGTATCTAAACAGTGTATCCTCACATGTCAGGACTGTGATTAAACAGTCCACCCACGGAGAGGCCCTGCCGGGTGTGCCGAAGCCCAATGCTGTGGGCGGGACCTGTCAACATGCGCAAACAATGCAGGAAACAATGCCCGAGCATTGTTCCTCGTCGTTTTCGACGTTCCCGCCGCTGTTTTCGATGGGGAAAAAGCACCAACGACGAGGAAACATATTTCCTCGTCGTTGTGCACCGTTTCCCCCATTGTCGGGGGGCGGGAAGGGCTGGATTGGGACAGGGCACTTTGGATGATGCTCGGTATTTTTACCACGTCATCTATTTTTAGCTGGGATTCTTAATGTACACGCAAAAAATTGGAAAAAAATCATATTAAATTGTAAAAAAAAATACATGATGCAGGTGGCAAGTAGAGCCACCTGCTACGAAAGAGAGATAATACGAGCAGAAGAGGGTCCCCGCCGGCACCCCTGCCCCCTCCTCGTCCGCGGGGGGCACCTCCCTCTGCCCCTTGCTCTCCCTTGCCCGTCCGTGGGGGCCACCTCCGCACCTCCACCCCCCTTGCACCTCTGTGGGGGGCACCTCCGCCCCCCTCTCCACTGCGCTCCTCTCCCCGTCGTTGGGCCCCATCCACACCCTTCGCCGGCGTGTTGAGCCCCTTGTGAGGGGGTAAGGGGCGAGAGGCGAGGGGCGAGGAGGAGGGGGAGCGAAGGACGAAGGGCGAGGGGACCAGTGAAGGTCTGAGTGAGGCGGGAAAACGCCCCGTCGTCGTGCTCGCTGCCCCCATCACCCCCTCCTGCTCCTGGTCTTCTGCTCCTCCTGCTCTCCCCCTCTCCTTCCTCCTCCCCCTCCCTTGTGCTCTCCCCCCTCCTCCTGCTCTTCTCTCCTTGTGTTCCCCTCCACTGGTGCTCGAAGGGCCAAGCGTGGAAGGCGAACGGGCGAAAGGGCGAAGGACAAACGGGGCGAACGGGCGAAGGGACGGA